CGAAGCAACTATTTCATGTCCAGCCGATATGCAGAAGGCCCAGGGGACGGCCAAGATTAACCTGGTGAAAACATATAGAAGGAGTCTGCTCCATACTCCAGTTGTCTTCTGCCGAAGCTCAGACTCTGGCAGAGGATCGTTAACGCTGAAAGCTGTCTGACGCGCCTGCCTCCGCGACTCGAGAGAAGCAGAGAAGCAGTCATGGAAGATGAAGAAAAGGAAGTGATTTCATCTCGTTGACGCATCCTGTTTAGCTCTCAGTTTAACCTACTGAACTACTAGTGGATGAACGCCTTTGAACTGATTCTTCTCCAGGTCAACGACAATACTGCTATTTCCTTGAAGGAATGAGGAGGGATCCCTGCTGACCCTAGCGTTTCCAAGATATCACGTGTGGAAAAACACTGCCTTGATGGACTCAGAAGTGTAGGAATGAAAGCTGAAACAGCGTTCGGTAAGAGTGGGCTTCTGGTATACAAAGAAGACTACTGCTCCATTCTTTCTACATACCAATATACCAAGGAACAGAAGTTTTGCTTCTCTTCTAGGTAAACTGGATGTTTTCGTGAATGGAGTTCAGGTGTTTTTCTAAAGACGTTGGTTCAGTCACGACGGCGATATAACCCAGGTTTCGTTCACTTACCTGTAACATGCTCGGGGTTTCAGCTCAGCCAGTTCCAAAACTGTTTCTTCGCATTGTTCTATGCATATCCGCATTACAATTAGACATACTGGAGACCCTACGATAGCCAATCTGTTAGTTTTAGTGTTCTCAAAATGCTAGGAACTGGCTTTAACTGACATATGCGTGTGGCTTCCACTACATCCGCTTTCGCCCAGCCAGTGAGTGGGATGCGGTTCGGGTAGCACGATAGATGATTTCAAGTGCATCTGCTATCACGGTTCGAAGATCACCTTGGCAGCTTCTGGCGTGATAGGCAGTCTATTCATCTTTTCTTTGAATTCACAGGAATTGAGCATGCGACTGCTGTTTGGGGTTGACAAGCTTATTCCTGACAGGAACTAGGAATCTGCCGATGAGGTAGAAAACAGACTGAACATTTGCTATGCGGGGTCAAAAGGGTGTTCCGTTTTTGTAAACCTTGGCTAATCCGTAGAAGTATGGGTTCGGGATGCTGTCGACCTTTTGTATGAGTAGTTTGATCCTGCGCTTGATTCCGTCCCTGCCCGTGCTGTTTGTCCCTATCCTGATGATTTCATTTGAGTCGGTAAACGTATGACGGCATTTCTTCTTGCACCTGGTGAATCTCGCTCTTGAGACGCAAAATCTTGGCGGATCTTGCTCTGAATTTAACATGGTCATGCAGTCCCGGAATTCGAACTATATTTAAACTATTTAACGAATAAACGGAAATCCGAAGAATCCCGAAAAGGGATTAGAGCACCCATCGAATTCGAATTTTATTTATTCCAATTATATACATGTTCGTCAACGTTTGAGATGTTAGAATTCTAGATTCGTCTTTAGGGAGAGACAGTATCACAGAAAATATGTAGCATAAATCAGTCAGGCAACAAATTCACTACGAAAATATTAGCCTAGAATAATATGGAAATATCTGCTTGATCTCCTATCTGATTTGAAACCAGCACCTAGATCTCCATCAAACTTCGGCTTTAGAACATTACTGCTTTTATTTTAACTAATTTATTTTAACTTCGGCACTTTAAACTAGATAATTCACCAGGATAGCTCGCTTCTGTTTTTTGTTCATTTTGTGCCCTGATGATGGATAATGCCATGTTCTTCGAAACGTCGCCTTAAAATTTTTTCATCTCATCTTTGTGCTTTTAACCTTCGTATAGGAAGAGTTTCTGACTTGAAGACTTCATGTTCAAAACTTTCATTCCATTGTTATTACCTTAAATAAACTGAGGGAGTCCGATGGATTGCCTCGTTGATGCA